AGTAATTGGATGCCTAAACTACTGTAACAGTCTGCTGTACGGCTTACCAACCAGTTATATTAACAAGTTGCAATGGGTTCAAAAAGCTGAGGCAAGGCTCATCTCTAATACTATGCGTTTTGATCACATTTCTCCTGTTATGAAAGACTTGCGCTGGCTACCAGTTAAATACCGTATATTGTTTAAATTGGTTATATACACATTCAAAGCTTAACATTGTAGTGCCCCCACAGATATTCATCAATTAATTAATTAGACTTAAGCCACAGTCAAATTATAACCTGCAATCAAATACAAAACACTTACTGCTTGATCTGCCCAACAAGACCAAGAAGACAACAGGAGACAGGGCGTTCTTTGTAGCCGCGCCTACCCTGTGGAACGCCCTTCCACACGAGTTGAGAGCTTTGAGCAGTCTCAAAACTTTTATGGCATGGCTAAAAACTCATTATTTTAAATTAGCTTTTGTCTTATAACCTATAGTATTTTAACATAGATTTTTGCATGCATATATAGATATAATATTTTTATCTAGTATCCATTTATTAACTATTCTGAAAAGCTGTAATTTTTTATCCATTTCATTGTAATATTATAAGCATTTTAACGTAAAGCACATTAGATCCTATACCCATGTATTTTCCGCTAAATAAATAATAAAATTATGTTATGTAAGAAAAATACACAAAAACATTTACTCTACCTAGCCCCACTAGAGCCTGAGGGAGACTTGTGTTAAACGTTTTTGGGAATGTAAGTGACGTAAGAATGTTTTTTACCAAATTAGCCCTTCTGACCTAAGCCAAGTCTTAAAACGTTCTTGTGGGCCATGAAAAACCTTGCTATTAGGATGTTTTTGGGGTGGGAGAGAAGTATTATCCATTGGAAATGACACAGGCTGTGGGAACAGGAGCACAAGAGTCACAAGGAATAGACACAGAATTTCACAGTGATTTCCTTGTAGCAAATAAGTGTATAGGAGCCCTACTTTCTCGTTTTTATATATGCTTGTCCATCAACGTGTTCCCCCAGGTACTGTTTGTCTTAGGTCACTGGTTGCTGTTAACGTGCGAGCAAATAAAGACAATGTGGAGGAATGATATTGCTCGTCATTGTCAAACATGAGAAGATATCCTCAACAACCATATGGGCAAATGAAATTTGCATGTTCAATTGTGGGGATATTAGCGTGTAAAAACATGTAAAGATCTTATGTGCCAATCATTCAAATGTCATAATGACTCTAGCAACTCGCCTACTAGGTTTTTGGTGGAGGGTTGATTTGGGTTGCGTTCATAATTGGTGCTCTCCCCTACTCTAAGACGTTTTTCTCCATTTTGTCTCGTGTTTACCCCTCTTCTCAAAACTAGCAATCACTCTGAATTCCAAGTTCATTCCAGACTAGAATGGTAAATGAAGAATCACTTTGTAGACTGATGTGCTCCCACTCAATTGTAAATGTTTGTATCAGTTGTGCCCATATGTATATATATACATTGTTTCTTCCTGTTCATCGTTGCGGCCTTCTTATTAAAGAAAAAAAAACATAATTTTTCTCCAATGTCCTGTAATAGTTACCGATTTAAAGATCCCTTGGTCCATACATAGATCGCAAATGGAGGCTGTTAAACTGTTTTTTAATAATTTCAGCCTAATACTGGGACCAACTAGCAATTTTTGTACAATATAATTTAACGTATTGCTACGTGCCAACGGACGCAACAACTCCCAACAATGTTGGGAGTTGGCCGATTATTCTTCCGATATCAGCTAATCCAAGGCACTCCTAAGGCAACTTAAACAATACGCGAAAACTCTTTTACGTTTTTAAAACTGAATGTTAAGGGGAATTTCACCTCGCGACAGGTGTTTTTAACATGCATATACATTGTAATTACGATGTATTTAATGTCATGCACTGTCTGAATATTTTGTTTCATCTTATAATGGTTGGGGCTGCCATCTGATTTCTTCCTTTTGGTTAAGCTTAATTGATAAGTTTATCAATAAAGCAGCTTTTGCGCAAAACAAAGCTAGAAGGATCTCAATGCTATTTTAACGTGAAGTGCCAACAGCTTGGCTCTCAGTTTAGCATGTAGTGACTGGGGTTCGTCTTTATCTCAAGTATGAGTTGATACTACGCGTGTCATGCGAAAAACATCCGTCAAATAAATAAACCGAAATAAATGGATAGACAATAAACACTAACACTGCACCTCCGTTTGTTGTTGTACGCTGTCCATTCGTTCCTTTTAATTTATGATAAGCTGTCTTAGCTTTTTATATGAATTTCATCAAATAAAGAGTTTACACACATGAATAGTTGTTTTAAAATCGTATTATTTCTTTATTCTTCTTTCTCGCGCCGTCCGCGTGCGCGCACCGATGTTTTCGAAAAGAACGAAAAGAAAAATAAAACAACGTCCGTGTACAGGCTAATCGTATTAAAAACCACAGGATTTTACTAGTTCCAGGTTTCAAAGACCATAATTTTACATACGTACAGACTCGTGCGATTTTGGTTATCTTCTTTCAAAACATTCACCTGTGCTTATTTTTTCTAAATTGTTCTTAATTGAAAGGATAGCTTACCTGACTAAGAGGGCCTATCATTTACAAAAAACAAATGTGTTTCTCGATAATGGGAAGTCTTACTTTCGCGATTTAAATTGGCAAATGTGAAAAAGGGCATTAAATTTCGCTACTATGGGATCTTAATTCTAAGGGAATTGTAAGAATGTAGCAATTATATTTATATGAAAATGATAGCTAGTTATTTGAACGTCATTTCGCAGGAGAACTTACCAGTAAAACCAGTTAATAATTTTTGTAGTATATCCTGTTATGTTGTTGTCATTACATGTTAATCAAGATTTTCTGTTATTTGGGTTTTCTGTATGGGTGTTAGGAGTTTTTTCTTAATCTTTACAATCTCTAAAATCGCGAAATTAATTACCGAGTAAGCTCATATGAATTTAAGTCTCATGATGAGTCCGCCTGTTGACCCGCAGTCAAAACGAAAAGAAATTTGTGAAAACTAAGCCGTAACGCACTTAAAAGCCAAAGTTGACATTTTAACAGTACAAAGTTTAATATATTAGTTTTGTTAAAATGTAGCGCCAAGTATTTGACGTCCAAAATGTCAGGCCACATTTAGCAACATCATTGCTCAGACGAGGAAAGTCAGTTCACCAAAAGAACTGAGCTCATCGTTCTCACAGTGAAGAACAAAAATGAAAAGATAGTTGCCTTAACTCGTATTTTATACGCCCTTATCCATTTTTTCTCTTAACGAACGTCGCCCCGTGCGCGTTTTAAAATTCCTGGTGATCGCCAATTCCAACACTTGTTCCAATCCCTTTTCTTTTTTCTTTGTTTCATCCTGTTAATATGACAAGCAGTAGTTACATCTTTCCTATCCTCCTAATGAAGCTGCTATTTTGGGTGTCTACTCTGACAGGATACATTTTTGCCAGCCTGTGCTGCAGCCAGCGCACGTATGGCTGATACATGGTTGCGTGAGAAAATCAGCACGCATATCGATACCAGAGCCCCGAAGTAATACATATCGCTGGGCAGCCTGTGCTTCGTCTGCCCACCGTGTACAGGTTACCTAAAAAATCCAACCCGTTGCCAGCGTAGCAGGCTTTTGAAGGGAAAATGTACTGTAAGAACACTCAGAAACACCACTTTCTTTGAAAATATGTTGTCAAATTTAATGAATTAGTATCTACGACAGTGAACGACAAGACTAAAAAGTAATTAGCACGACGTCTATAAATACTACTAGATATAAGTTCTACATCTATAAATAAATTTGTGTATTGTCTCAACTGAGCTCTGAATGATAAATTTGTTAAAGGGGCATGAGGAGTGTGTCCCTGAGTCTGTCGAGAACAATCACGTTTCATGTTAGGCTCAAATGGGGAGAATCGCGGCCGCATTGAAACATCCAAGGCTATCCTGAGACTCGCAGCCAAGTTCCCATTAGTCCAATAGATAAGTTGTTTTGACATTTTTGGGCATGTTCACGACATCGATTATTATTCTGAAAACGCTTATTCCCTGTCTGAAGCATAACAATACTATTAAAAATACAACCAGAAGCATATTATATGCTTCTGTTCTGAACATATAGGGGGAGGTTATACGCTTCGGGGTTATATGCTTCTGATACAACTGATTGGAATTTACAAGTAATGTGAATTGGTAATAAAGAAGCTTGAGATGTTTAAAGTTCCAATTTCTCTCAGACAGAGTCGTAAACGTCTGGAAGGTGTAGATTACCAAGTTCTACCGATTCTTTCTTACAATCCTGGAATAAACGCCGCATTCTTCTGATTAGCTGCGGCGCTTATTCGAGGGCGGCGTTTACTGGTAGTTTTCACGCCTCCTGATCTTCGGCACAGATCGAGAATCAGGAGCCTAGGTACCCTGTGGCTTGGCAAGGCAGAGTGGTAAATTTTAATTTAAAAACATCGGAGTCGCATTAGGGTTCTCATTTTTCGTCCCGTTGTCTCTGTCGTGATCGGTCTGGGGGGCGTGAGAAATGAAGCGCTTTAGAAAAACTCACAGACACGGGAGCGATCCATTCAAACAAAATTCAGACCGGTCCGACCGGAAAAAGTGGTCCACTTTAAAAGGTGGACCAATTTTTTCGAAACTTTTCCGAAATTTCCGGAAATTTTTGGTTGAATGGATCGCGCCGGGTGATCCCGCAGTTATCCCGCAGCTTAATCCCGCAGCGGACCAAGCTTGCGAGGGACTTGGTTTGACATAAACCGTATTTGGGAATGATAACCAAATAAGGAAAACATCCGCCATAGACATCTGCGCCCGGCAAGAATGATTCGGTGAAATTTTGTAAACATCACGAAACTTAGGAAAACAAGCACAGTCAATTCTTTTTCTGTTTATTAGAGATTGATCATAAACACAGAATGACGATTCGACAGTTTTTTGGGGTTTCTAGTATTTTTAGTGAATTTTACGCCCTTTGATAGCTCATATTCGGCGCTCTCAGAGGCGAGAGATGGCGCGATACTCGAAGACGAAGAAACATCAGATTGGAGAATTGTCCTTGTTGGTAAATGGACTGAATTTTTCTTCGCTGGATGTGGGATCGATCAAGGATGCCATCCAAAAGCTCGATGCTCGATTAGAGGAAAACACGGGAAGGTATGAAATGTTCTTCAGGGACCCTTAGGAAATCACCCTTATTCAGACGGTCTCCCTCAGTTTTGCCCTAAATGATCATCAACAAATCGCGATGTATTTTATATGCATGTGGAAAGCAAATTTGGCCCCCGTAAAGTGTCTCTCTAGCGTATAACGTTTCTGCTTGATTTTGAATTTTTTTTTGTTTCACCGGAGTATCTATTAGTTTCCTTAATTTTTGTCGAAATTCTCCTTTTAATTTCTGATCGCTGCAGGTGCATCCGTTTTAAAATTATTCGCTTTTAGGTCATATCAGCATACCGGCTATTAGGATTGCATGTATGGATAAACTTACCCTGGCAACCTAGGTTGAATACTGTATATGACTTGCAATAACATCTTAAGACATGTCCTAGCTAAGACACTGAACGCCTTGTTGAGGGGGTTTACGGTATTGCGACGTATTGAGCTTTTTTTCAAATGGTATTTCGGTAATTTTGATTTTAAAGTACGGTATTGTGGTATCATTTAGCACTGCGGTATGCGGTTTTTCATCCTTTTGGCTAATGGGACATTCGGTAAAAGAAGATCCTTCACGGTATTGGAGTACTGTTCATTGCACTCTTCTGTCTAATGCACTTCAGTATTTTTAAGACTTTAGATTAATGGTTCCCTGCTAGCAGAGGTCTCTCTGCTTTCTCTCATTTTTGTCTCGTCGTGAGAGACCTCTGCTAGCAGGGAAGATTAATGGTAAATGATTACACAATTTCTGATAGACAAAAGTGGTAGAGCATCCTTTTCGATCGTTGTACCGATCAATTTGAGGTCGTCTCGCGTTTCCTCGCAATGGCTGAGGTTGATTGCTGGTGTATAAATGCGTGAGATAAACAAACACGCAAGATGGATACAACTTTAAGTAAGCGTATCTGAAAATAATTGCAGTATCAGTATTTCATTGATATTTGACACGCTATTTTGGTATTTGCCAAATATTCTTACTGTATTGTGGTGTTGGGTACCCCCCAACTCAATGTCCCCCTCCATGTACAAATGACCTTCATGTTTTATATTAGACACAAACTTTTAGAATGCATGCCTTAATTTTAGATTGAGCAGAAAAATTTTTGATTGGCCAGATGCGGGGCTGGCATGGAAAAATTCTTTACTTTGTCACATGGGTGCATGGTAGATTACTATTATTACTAGAAACAGTCACATGAGAACAAGTCCAGAATATAAGACGTGAACCATCTTGTCTTCTCTAGGACATACTTATACTTTGTACAATTCACGTTTTATTTAGGATGTATCTTGTCGTAAGATGTGTCTTATTTTTCCTTTTACAAATGACCTTAATATAGCTCTAAATGACAAGATACTCTGTATGCTTGTATTAGAGACACGATAATTTCATGTGAAATAGAGGTGTTGATACAAAGTTACAAATCCACAATGTTTATGAGTGTTTATACTTTAACATGTACGTGAAGCAAAAATACATTAAGGTGGTGGGGAGGGTTGTTCTTTTTTACTGCACCTCTTCATGGACGTTCCTCCATTTGTCCCAATATTTTCACCCCAATTCGCCTATTTTCCCCTGTTTTCCCAACCCCAACCCAAATGGTCCCCTATTATCCTCACCCCGTCTCTAAGTTTCTCTCCTAATATCCTCATCCCACTCCCCTTTAATGTCCCATGTTACTGTCACCCATTCTCCCATTACCTCTTACTCCCCTCACCCCAGTCCCCCTATTGTCAAGGCTGTGCTGTAAGAAAAATTCAAGGGAGCCCAGTGCTCTGAACTTGTAAAATCTAGGGTGCCCAGCATGTGATTTCTATGAAAAAAATAAGATTTTTTAGTAGCCCAAGACTAAAAGTTAGGCGCTACAGGCCACTGGGTGCTGCTAGAGTACAGCCCTGCCAATCCTCTGTTATTCTCACTCATTTCCACCATTGTCTCTTAAGGTGCTTTCCATTTATTAGAACTGACCAGCCAGCCCATTCCCATCGTAAAGAGAATTTCACTTAAAATCAAAACTAACCATCCAGATCAGTCAAATCCTAAATATTATGCACAAGGGAGATGGTTTTTCATTGCCAAAATGTCTGGTCTGACCATGATCCAGCTGGCCAGTTCTGACTTTTGGAAAGTGCCCTTAGTATCCTCACTCCATTCCCCCCATTGTCCCATGGTATTGTTACTTATTCCCACTGCAGTTGCCTTTTACTATCATTATCCCTTCTTCCTATTGTCTCCTATCATCCTCAGCCCACTCCTCCTTTTGTCCCCTGATACCCTACCCCCTACGTCAATGTTGTACTGTACTTGTGACACTGTTGAGTTTTGTGTTTAAAATTCTTTCAAGAACGGTCTTCTTGTAAAGACATCATTGAACAAAATTATAATTTCCCTTTACATTATTTTATAGCTTGCAGGAAAGCTGGGGACAGTTTGTGGATGTCTGCAATTCCATCTCTCAAGACAGAAATCAAAATCCTTCTGAATGGTTAAACTCAAGAGGGGCAGTTGATCTTTTGGCATCATCCAATATTACACAGACAAATGCCTGCTCTTATGAGCCTATTGCACTCAACTGTTTCTTGAACAATGTGGTAAGCTTTTATTCATCTTGCAAGTGAACATGAATTTTTTCTTTACTGATTCTTGCATATTTATAGCATGGCAATTCCAGGCCTTTATAAGATTGCAAGACCCTTGCTTAACAATATGCCATTTGCACGATGGCGTCATTTAACTACTACTACCAGAATCCTTTGGGATATTCCTTTCTAATGTGCAAATTTGGGCCCTTGTTGTTTGAACCTCACTGGGATTACCAAATTTAAATATGAAAGAAAAAGAGAATGATTTCTGGTCTTAGTTGTAAGGAGTCATCATCATGCAAATGGCCAGCTATTTGGGACTGAATCTTACATTTATGTCCAAAACACTTAAAACCTTTGAGCAAAGTTCATACATGTATATGTTACAGGTCAAATTTGATTTTAGGTTAAATTGTTTTAACCTCGGTTGATTATCAAATTCCTTGGTCTCTTAGGGCCAGCTAGGAGACAAAGGAATTGAGAATCAACCTAGGTTAAATCAAATTTAAACTAAAATCAAATTTGACCTGTAACATATAATTATATATATGATAAAGTACTGGTATGATCAATAACAATGCATCCTTTAAGTTACATTACATTACATGTAGTTACAGTATTTGTTGTAAATCACACTATGAAAGGTATATCTTGTTTTTGGGGTTGTCATTCAGATTCAGGCACTAGAACGTAACCCTGGCCAAGAGGAGTCCATCTTTGACGACCTGGTACAGTTTGCTTCCCAGCAAGGAATTGTAATGCCCTTTGGCCTTCCTCAGAAGGATGGAGTCAGTGAACAAGAGGAGGTACCTTTAAACACCATTGTGATAGAAAATGAACAAGCTACTGACATCTTATGGGAAGCTATCAGGAGCAAACTGCACAAAGGATTTTGGGCTCTTCTGGCAAAATTACCTCTGTTTGATGAACACAGTGAGATATTTTGTGATGAAAGGAAAATAAACCTTTTACAAGACTTATGTTTTCTTTATCCTGCCAATGAAATTTGGAAAGGATACAAGAATTATCGCCGAAAGTTGATGGACCAATATGTGAGAAATGAAGATTTGTTGCAAGACATTGAAACAGATCTGATCCCACATGAGGGTAACATTCCTGGTAATGTTGTATCATTTGTCAAGCTGTGTAAAGCTGCTGAAATCATGATACACGAGGATGCAATAATTTTGCAAGAGGGTATTTTCCCTGACAAGGTGCCAAGCTTTGACTACATTTATGATTCATACTTAGTGAAGATTACACAAGAGCTCCAGTCTGTTTGCGAGTCTTGTAGTAGTAACAAGAAAAATGAACATGCATCACTGAGTGAAGTGGAACGGCCATCAGGTAGCAGAAGAGGCTCTAGTGTGTTGACTGTTAAACAGAGTGATCCAAAAGATAACCTTTTGGCTTACAAATATTTTTTTTGTGCCATGGTTTCATTGGAGCAACTGGTACAAAGGGTCACAACTCAAAGATCAGAAATGGAAGGGACAGGTACATGTAATTGGATAGCTTAAGCAGGATCATTTTTGAGTGATGTACGTCAACGGGAAGTGGACGTTTTGCAGTCTTGGACAGCGAACTTGCCCATATTTTCGGGCAAATCATCTGCATATGAGTAAATACTCTTACCAAGACAAATCAAAGCATATTAAAGTGAAAAAGGGCACACTTCTGGTTGACATGCGTCAAACAAAAAGACGTCTCTGCTTAAGGTCTCTATTAGTACATGAAATACTGTTTTTAATAAAATTGACTGTAGTGATGATGATGATGATGATGATGATGATAGTTATAATGATACAGTGACTCTAAATGCAAAATCAATGTACATTGTAAATGAAGATATGATTATTGTAGTTGTGTTGGCAAAATGAGAAAACTTCAGGTGAAGCCCTCCAAATTTTTGTTGAATCCTGTTCGAGCCCTGAATTTTTTGGGGGGTGGGAGGAGTTGGAGCGGGAGGGGGGATGAGGGGGGGGGGCTTGTCAGTTTTTTCACCATTATTTTTGTTTTGCTTGTTTGTATAAATTAATAAAGTGAAAGGAATTTTTTTAGGTAGCCCTATTCACTGATTTTAAGTGGGCTGTCACTGAGTTATGAAGCATTTTACTGTAGCTTGCCATCTTGCACTTGTTACTTTTCCTCAAGTGTCCATGGTCATTGATTTTCTTTGGCTGCTCACTACCATTACCTGTCGTATTTCATCAGGTCATCTGTAACAGGTTGTAGGGTTTACAGGCCTTAGTGACAGACCAAGATTTACTTTCATGAGTTTATAGCATTATGACTTCTTTTCTCTGCTGTAGTGACTAGAGTCGGCAATCTACAGAATGCAACCAAGTCCCCTTCCAGTCCAGTTTTGGGACACAGGAATCCCAATCGACAGAGCTCCAAAAAGGGCAATCATGCCGGCCTTTATGTTGCAGAGGGAAATCTACCTTTACCTTTTGGTAAGCTGATAAAACAATGCGCATTTGAAGTATTAAATCTAGATGCATAGGGTTTTACTTGCTTTTCATTAATATTTGGTTGTGGTGGAGAATATAGTACCATGGAAATGTGATGAAGGTGGCAGGAACTTGGAAGTTTAAGTTTTGTGAGCTTCACTTCCTCTTTTGAAAATCTTCATCAAGGAAAGTCTTCAAAACAACAGCTTTTCAGAAATACTTTCATCCGTATGAATTGAAGTGTACATGTATATGAATATATTTAAGCTGAATGAGAATTGAAACTTCCTATTTATTTTATTTTATTGACAGAGCTGTAGAACCATCCCATGATCTTGTGCAAAATATGTTCTTTTCCACCTCCAATTCACCCAATTAAAAAAAAAAAAAAAAGAAGATAAAAAACTAATGCATAGCTATTTGCCTTTTAAAAATGTACCTTGGGTTGAGATACGTCCGTTTGCAGAATGGTGTGCAGAAGTCCATTAAAAAAAAATACAGTTGAATTTAGCACAATCACTTGTAACCTAGGGACCCAAATGTTTTGTAGCCCAGGGCCCGGTTCCTGAAAGGCCAATTAGTGCTTATTCAGGATCAAAATTTTGTTCCACTTTTTGTATTTACCTTCCTATGTTCTGCTTAGAGTAACATTTTGTGCTATCATACCTATATCTTGGAGTAAAAGCTCAACAGTGTTTTGTAAGCTCGAGTTGCATCTTCTTAGACAAGAAAACCTTGTTTAAAATTTGGCTTAAACGTAACCATCTGTCTAGGAACCGGGCCCAGTAGTTTTAATTGTGGCCTTCAAATATTAGGACAGAAACAAATGCTGGAAGATAAATATAACAAGGTTAAGAATCCCAACTGACTGGAGTCAAACTAGTTGGCTATTTACAAGCAGGGGCGAGGAGTAGGACTCAGGACTATCAAGAACAAAATCCAGTTAGTGGTTAGGGTGGGAGTGGAACTTGGGGCCTCCAGATAATTTGCATTTTATCACAATCTTTTCAGTAGGCAAGGTCTAACCAATGTCGAATAATTTTAGTAAAACATCTGTTTTGAAAAAACTATGAAATGTAAACTAAAGTTATTAGACAAAAGATTCTTTCTCACAATTTGAGGGCCCTCGCCTGTCCTAGAATCGCTTTTTAATGACCTTTAATTTCCAATACATTTGTCTGTAAAAATGTTTTCCTGCCGACCAAATTTCCCAGGAAAAATTATAGACAAATGTATAGAAAATCTTATCAAGAACGTTTTAGCTTGAATACAGCCCTCAAAATTTGTCAGTAAATCCTCTACCTTGTAGCTTTAGTTTACAATTTATATTTTTTTCAAACGGACGTTTTACTTATTTATCATTTTTAAAACATTTTTTACGCCTGCTTGAATAACTCCAAAACCGATGGCTTTTTTTCCAGTTAACCACTCAGCCATGGCCTTTTGTGAAGAATGGGTAAAGATCAGGCATTTTTAAAATATTCATGAATAACTCCAAGATGGCTTGTGAAGAAGGGGACTTTGAGACTGAAAGAACGTTGGTGTATACAGCTAAATCAAAAAAGGTTGATTTGGTAGTTGGTCATTGGAAATTGGACATTGTGCGTTTGGGCATATTGAACAATACCATGATTTACTTGAGTGAACACCTAATTACAGTAGCTTCCCAATGCCGAAAGAAACCTTTATTGAATCAGCTATATACAATAGTCATGAAATTATTTTTGAGTGGTTTATTGCAACTTCAGCCCCTCAGAATAAAGGGGTCTATTAAAACAGTTTCAATACTTGCAGTGATATTATTACTCACTCTTTTTTGTTAATTTCAGGTTCTGTTACTAGCAAAGTGGATTCCCAATCCCATAGCATTAGTGGTAGTTTATCCCAAAGCCAGTCATCACAGTGGCCTTGGAGAGATGAATTCAAGAGTCACACTTCAAAGATTTCATTATCTCTGAGTGATAGTATTAAGAAAAGTTGTGAAAAGGCTCTTGATGATGAGCTTCAGTCATACCAAGTGTGGAAAAAGATCCCTTCTGTTAAACTGAGAGGTTTGGATGACAATTGTATGTACACCACATTGTAAATGTCCTTGTACACACCTTATTTGCACAGAAACTGGACTTCCATGTGTGATGAGTGTTTTTTTGTTTTTGAAAGCATGACTGATGAACCTAAGGGATAAGGTTGAAAATATTTTTAAAAAGTCAGGATGTTGAATTCTTAACAATTATTAAAATTTTCTTTTATGCTGCGAGAGACACTGTAGCTGCAGTTCTCCCCATGCTAATAGGAAAAGGAAATTGAGAATCAAACTAGACTGAAGCTGTTTTAACTTGAATTTCATTTTCACTAACCTCTTACAACTTGTCTTTAATTAATGAATAAAGATGTAACTCAATTTTAAATATATACATGTACCCCTTTTTTCACCCTGCCACACAGTTTCCAGGTTCTCATTTTTAGTATTATTACTGAAGAAACAAACTGTAATTGTTCAAATATACTAATAAATGTACAATTTTGTTGCTATCTAACCAGATGACATTGTTGGGGGTAAACAAGATTATGCCAGAAAAATTGCAAAGGTAAATGTGACACAGAAGTTCCTTTGAACATGCCAACTTCAAACACAACAGCATGGAATGTTGTACACATGTGTACATACCGTAAATAACATGGTTTGTACAACTGTAGTTCATACAACAAGAATTTTCTACACTAATAATTAGTGGGCAACAAGAGGATCCAGCAATCCTAATCTCCAGGTTGGCAGCCACTTAGAATGAATGGAATGCACTTGATGCAATGTGATCACGCACATTTGGACCTTCTATCACGCCTTGTAATCTGATCACGTGTGTTTTGACCATCTGTCACATGAAACTTGTGCAAAGCACAGCGTTGGAGCAAAAGCGATTTTACCTTCGATTGTTGTCGCTTGCACTCTGTAACCTTTGGCTATTAGTAGTCTGTACAAATAGTGAACACTAGTGATGTCCAATGTGGTTATAAGCTCTACATGTACAGCGTAGTGTGTCAAAGCTTAAAAACACAAACAATAATATGTTATTTTAATCTCTATATTGTATCAGCTCTTTTTTTGTTTTACAGAGTTGTGCTGTCATCATGGAAAATGCAGATGAAGTTCTTCCACTTGCAAGCAATCATGGTGGCAAACTCTTCCATGTTGTTAGGTCATCCTTTGTGGACTCATTAGAAGCCTGTCTCAAGTCTTATCATTCCAGATTAATACAGGTACGAGTAATCAGAAATTTGCTGCTGTGTTTAAATTAGTAAAACTAAAAACTGATATTAGTAAAACTAGTGACCCCTCCCCTCCAAGCGACCCATCCCCTCCCACCCCAAACAAAGTTGAAGTTTGAGTTGAGTGCTTTTTGTCCACAACATTGCTGGGGGGGGGGGGATAAACCTAAAACCAATCAAAAAATTGTCATTAGGAGCAGAGTCCTATGTATCAATTACTTGGAAGGGTTTTTTCACACAGTCCCAAGTTCTTTTGTCCACCATTGTAAACAAAATTGTAAGCCAATACAGGGGCACCTACTTATATAGCTCATAAATTCAAATGGTTACACATGTTGAAAGACTGTGGGGAATAAGGAAACCTCTTTGTGAACATTTTGTTCAAGTAATACAACATGTACCACAGGTCCTGCCATTAAACCATCCCGTTTTCCTTGTACCAATGCCTTAACTGTAAATAAATTTAATCATTTTGTGTTGTAGCTGCTGTCAGACTTCCCTCATCTTTGCAGTGTAGACTGTCTGTACATTATTCTCAGCAGTGCTGTGTTCATAAGAAATCACTTGGTTTATTATGAAGATATACTGGGCTCTGAACCAAGGTAACAAAATTACCTTACCACATATAAATGGCTCAAAAAAACTTGAATTTAAGCATGTCTTTGGTCAAGCAGCTCTCATGTTTTGCTTGAAATTGCCCGAAGCAACTACCTGTTTGTCTTAGTTAATGCTTGAAGGGAATTTAGTTGAAGAATGACTTTCCTGGACCCTTGCACTTTGGAAGTGAGATGTAAAAGTTACTTGCCCAGCAAGAAAATCTACTCTACTCTACTCGGACAAACAGACAAACTTTATTCAAGCCATGCATATAAAAGAAATTATAGATGCACAGAGTGCATTGTTGCATTGCAAGCACACATGACAACGAACAGTCAGAACCAGATCCACAAAACAGAAGTTGAAGAAAACCTTAATTCCAGCATGTCCTTCGGGGTACTTGCATGCTTGTCTCCCTTTATGATTTAGTTGGATGTCTTGGATGAAGACTTTCTTAGGCCCTTGCACATCGAGCTAGTGAATGTGAAAAGTCACTGTCAAGTGGACAAATCTTCTTTTCCTGGACGACCACTCTGAGTTTTCTAGAGCCCTGTAAAGAGGATTATTTCCTATATATTATACAAGTACACTAATTTGCATTGTACTTACTGTGTAGGGTGTTTTTGTTGCATATTTTTTTATAGTTGAAAACGTCATAAATGAGTGGAAACTTTCCATAATTAAATTCATACATTCATTGCAACAATCCTATCATTTTTTTAAAGGTATATGAATTTTGTAGATAATAAATTTTTATCCAAAAGTAGATACATAAAATGGATGAACATTTACGTGATACACTTGCAGCCCTGTGGTGTACAGCAGAAAACTTAACTGTGATGTGGTTGTCCATCAAGGTGACTTTTCTCTTTGATTTGCAGACGTCCCTTTCCTGTGTTACATCGTCAGTTCAGTGAACTTGTTGATAGCATTAGTGATCAAATCATCAGTTACCATGAGACAATCATTTTAACAGTAATACTACAGGATACCCACAGTCACAATTGGACAGATCATAGACCTTTCTTTGAGGTAACATGGTCATCTCCCCTGTCTTTCATGTTACTACTGTTTACATCTGTTGCATTGCTGGTTTGAAAAATGTTTTTAAAAAATGTTTGGGTCTTGAAAAAATGATGGGATTTCCATTTCTTTCAGAGTTGAGTTAAGTGGTTTAAATCTTGGCCATCAAATTTTTTTGCACTCAAGACTCCTTTACAATTTTTTCTAGTATTAAGAGGTCACCATTGATTAAAATAATAGTTACTGGCCATGTCTAGCCTGTGTAGCCAGCGTGATCATTCTCGCAAGGAAACTTTTTGCAGAGGAGCTGTGAAGCTGTGCGGAGAATGGGAAGGAGACGCTTTTGGAATTTTCGCACGCCTTCGGCGCTCGCTTCTCGCAGTAACACCACAAGAATGGCAGCTTCGCACTCACAAAAACAATTCCGCCAGCTACGTAGGCTAGCCAATGTCCCTTCAAGCCATTTTCATTGTCATTTCTTGTATTAAACTTTCAACCTGTATTAAGAGGTTAGTTGGTAACTCTTTAACCCTTTAAACCCTAAGATCAAAATTTGAATTCTCATTTATTGCCCCTATTCATTTCCAGCAGACGTAGTGGGGAGAAGTTGATAAAATATCAAACACATACGTCTTGTGTGATCATGTCCTTAATTCTCATGACCACTCTGTCTTACAAAGCATTGCTAAATTACAAGGAGAAATTTGATGCTGATCACTCTCAGGGCTTAAAGGGTTAAGTGTGACCTTTAAGTACAAGTTTGACTGCGTATGGGTGCCAGCAACAAAGTGTTGGGCGTAACCCTGTGATGAACTGATCTGCGAAGAGGAGTAAACTCTTACAACCCTGGAACACTTCAAAGGACCTTCCTCTCTTCCCCTTAACAAAATTGAAAACGGTTTGTCTTTGGACTTTTTGTTTTTGTTGGATTTTCACGTTTCTGTAAGGGAGGACAGGGTGTGATCAGAGTGTCAACCTTTCCGATGATTAGTAAGCAGGATTGTTTGTAGGTGCATAAAGTCACTGAAACTTGGTTGGTTGGCCGTCTTATTAGATAAGTGTGCCTTTACCCTTGACATTACTCATATTCTTTATGTGGACAGGATGAAAGATGCTCATTTTCTGTGCAGATGTGGAACTTTCACCTTCAAGGTTTACGCCATGATTTATGGACCTATTGTCCACCTGAGAAAGCTCAGGAAATATTTACTTCTGTCCTTCACAGTTCTTTGGTTACCTTGGTAACAAGATATAGCAGAGTAACTCCTTCATCGAGAAGAGTCAAGCAGTTCAGGTATAAGAAGTCCTCTATGTAATTACAATTAAATTTCTACCCTGCTCGCCATAAAGCCTGTTGTAGTTAAGTGGTTAGAGCATCCGAACTTAAACTAGGAGGGGTGTGAGTTCGATTCTCACCTGAAGCTCGGATTTTTTTTAGCTTTCTGGTGCTGGAGTTCTCCTTCTTCCAAAATTGTATAGTTATTGTTTGTTTCACAATTTAGTTACTTGAGATGTAGATCGTGGTATTTCAACTTTCTTCACATGATAAGGTCAAATGATTAGTCCACGTTTTCCAAATCGGCGGGCTAAATGTGGCATATTTAAAAACTCCTACAAGACTTGTGAAGCAAGCATTGTTATTAACTTCTTTATGACCACTAATAGTTTTGTTTCGTTTTTTTTATTAGGTCAGATATCACAACCATCCTGTTGTCTACTCTGTCATTCTTGTGGTTTTGCTGTAAATCAGTGTCATTCTTGCTAGATCCTCAGAGTTCAGCGGCTCCTTTTCCAGCCATTCACAGGCTCTGCTCCTGTTTATTGACTACACTGGTAAAATATCAAGATCGTATTTAAAAATGCTTGTAATGAACAGTCGAACCTTCATGTGGGACCAACCTCAGCTCCAATAAGTCACCACTTATTAAAAACTCCAAAATTTGTGTCTGGACCTCTTTTTGGGAGAGGCCCCTTAACTGCTTACTGTACTATTTGGTACAATAACGTAACGTGTTGAAATTCATTTGAATTCTGTGTAAAAGCCTGTGTTCTAGTTTTCTGTTACTGGTTTTCTCTCTTTTAAACGTAGATTAATTAAACATCGTAAGTTGGTGTGAATGTGGTATAAATGATATTTCTAAGTTTCATTAACACCGTTTTTTACCTAAACCATCTCGCGTCGTTATTTTTTCGGAAAGAATCTCACAGCCACTATTTATCTGTTTGTTGTCCGCAGACTGTAGTCAGCTGTCCCCTGGAGACTTTGTGTTCTTATGTCATAGCTGAACAACCATCCAATCAGGAGCTAACAAACTCTGCAGCTACTTGGTTGTCATGGTTGCATCCTGAAGTCTTTAAAAGCCACGAGGGGCGGTGAGAATTTCTATTTAACATTAACAGTTTTTTTTTCAACAATACCAAAACTGTAAATCTAGAAAAGAAATAATAAATTAATTAAACAACGTCAACAACAACAACAGCAAAAGCAGATTAAAGTGTGATAAACTAGTAGGAATCACAGATTAATAACGTGCGGTCGAGATTCCAATTCGTGTGTGATACCACATGGTTTTGTTGCAACGGAGAACGTGTTGCCGTCATTTTTCCCGAAAAGGTAGCAGTCTGTCAGCCGCAGTAAATAGGACACACCGACGACACCATGGCATTTCGCCCAAGGGATCAGAAGTTTGAGCAACACGGTTTTTGTTTCTGATCCATTCTAGAAGTGGTACTGGGCGAAAGACCAAAATGACTTTTGATAATGATGTCATTAAGGCAGTCAGAAAGCCAGGTAGAAAAAGAGAAATATTTTGATTGGACAATAATTTGCATTACTCCTCTTTGTACATGTAGGTTACAGACAGAGAATCATTGAAACACTGTATGCTTGTTTTCTCTCCGCCTAGGCTGGCTGCACTTCCTGATAGACAAGCGACTTTTGTGTTGTATAAGCTAGCCGTAAATCAACCTTCTCCTCAGTGGTCACTCTTCTTACGAGTAAGATATTCCATACTAACAGTAAATATTCTGCGTTACACTGTGAATATACGTAACGCCACTTTTGGAGACTTCCTCTGTGTTATCACTGCGGAGCGAGTAGTTACAGAAAGAACCCAATTTGCGATGGACCCTCTGTTGCGATTTATGGTCCTGAGGGTTTTAAATGTAGTGGGAGCTTTATCAAACTATAAACGTTTCATAATTAATCAATAACTGTGACTGATGATGTAGTAATGATTATTTTAAAAATTTGTCGTCTTTAACTTAGGCTCTGCTAAGCAGAAATGCAAGGCTTCCTGTTACAATTGTCAAATATGGAGGTATGGTTTTGCAGTTAGTTTTACGCTCTATTATTAATGGTCCCATTCATATTCAACCTGTTATCAGTAAGTGCAGGTGAATGAGGTTGATGAGTTATTCGCAAACAGTACACCTCTAGGGCCATTTAATGTCAGGCTGGCAATCGCGTCAATGTAGTTTCTTAAATTGCCCGTTGTGAGAACGATTTCTGGATTATAAAGTTAACCCATTTGCCTATGGGAATTTGAAGCTAGTCGAGTGGTTTTCTAGTCACTGTTATGAAGAGCTAAAACTTACCACAAAGCTGTTTACATGTCCTTCACTTCGCGGCCTTCTGATCCAGATAAAAAATATTAGCTTGCGCAGTTCGGGCATGCGCAGAAAGCAAAATTTCGAGATTTTGTGTTTAAGAGTGGCACGGCAATCTTGACTTTTTCTTCTCGCTTTGTCTTTCGCTTTTCTTGCCTTATTTTGTTTTTCTCTTTGCTGGGCATTTAGTAGGCTTTATTTTGGTGGGAAATGTTTTTGGGAAAGCTTTTAGGATCTTAGTGGAACAAGATGTTCGTGGACATTTTCGGTCAATGTTACATGGTTTTTTACCTTTTTTATCCGGCTTGCTTGACCGAATCATGCCCATTCTGGTATGGTTTGAAACATCTCCTCACCCTGCGCAAGTTAGCAGGCAAAGTTGTCCTTGACCGTTAAAACTGGTGACGTCACAAGCGGTAGAAGGGACATGGATCCGCAGGGGCGGTTACGGGCGGCTCAGGGGCAAATGGGTTAAGGTTATGTCATGTGTAAATTGAAGCTCTGTGACCCGCGCTTTTCACCAACATATCACTAACATATCCGCGCTATACACACAACACACACAAGAAAAATTAACTCAAACTTACATGCACTTCCCATACCATCAGTCAAGCTGGACTTGGATGTATAATATTTACGTGATAGTCTGCCATGCGACACTGCCTTGTGAGCTAGAGTTAGTTCAATACTGAAAAGATTAGCTTCTTGTAAGGGAATCCAAGACAGTTTTGGATTCTGGATTCCACGCCATGGATTCCGGATTCCAGGTACTGGATTCCAGTCTTTGTCAGTGGTGAAACTTGGATTCCGGATGCTAATCTTTAGTGGGATTCCGGATTCTTTAAGATTTATACCGGATTCCACGAGGAAAGTTTCCCGGAGTCCGGAATCCGGACTCCCTTACACTGGGCGAAAACACTATACTAATGCATTTTAGTGAAATCCAACTAGTGGTCTATTATCAATGCTGCGTTCTGATTGGTTGAGCTACTACTAGGCTATATGTTATAGCCCACTGGTAGCGAAAAGCGCCGGCTTTGAAAACCAAAACAATGGTAGCTGAATCGCGTTTTGCTAGTTAAAGTTGTTTTGTCCTGATATTTTTGACCAACTGGTTGGATTTTACTAAAACAATTATTCCTCTCGCCCTCATGGCCTCTGAATCAATAGCCCATTCTGTCTTCGGCCTCATGGGCTATTGACTCCGAGCCCATTGGGGCTCGAGGAACAATTGTTAAATATGGAGAACATTCATAGAGTCTCGCATCACTGTTAGCTACTGAGCCAGTACATGTACTTACGCTTTTCAGACCTCGGCAACCTTAAAACACCAGTAAATTCATCAAAAACGGTTGAACCTGTGCCATCGTCATGGTTCGATGAGAGGGTAACATCATCAGAGGAAACTGCCAAGAAGTTTAACAAGGGTTTGGTGTGCTCCATTTATCACATTCTCTTCCACTCTTCAAATGATTTCCCAGGACTTGTTAATTATCTCATGGCCATAGTCAGCAGGTAATTGATACATGGAAAATGCCGCATAAGAAGTAAAGACAGTTGCTTTTGGTCCTCATTTGCATAAAAATCAATTATCGACTTACCCAGAATGGAGTGGAAAACGTCCAGACTTCTGATTGGTCCGTTAACAGCAATCTTTGGTTGGGTTTTAAACCAATGCGCTCTACTTCTGACGTACCATATATAATAGTGTACTGTCGACTTAACAAATGAGCAACAAACAACTCGCAATTTCTCGGCCGTCACTCTGTATTAAAAGCAGTAGTGTCGAAGCGTTTGACCATTTTGCCTTATTAATCAGTTCGGTTGACAACACCAGTATCTTGTATTAGTTCGGTTGACAACACCAGTATCTTGTATCAGTATCTCTCGGCGATTACTGCTCACTTTTATAGTACTTTTGTTTCGCTCTGTTCCGCCTAATTCGTACGATGTTTTTCTCTTTAAGGGAGGATAGCTGGAAGCTGTTTGACTCTACCTCTTCAGGTTTAAAGATTTCAGACGCTAAAGAGGTACTTTCACGTGTGAAAGATCATACTTAAACTTACTTAAACTCAACACACGAATTGATCTGAATTCTTATCTCTGAATATGGTTGCAAAGTCCAAATGAAACAATTTTGAAAAGGTGCCATTGAAAAAACCTTCAGAACACAAAAATGTTAATAAAACGTGCGGTATCTGCCATTTACATAGGAATAACGGAAATTCCGGGTGGAAAAACAAATTTTTCGCGCCATTCCGTTTGAGAAGCTTCAGAAAATATGCACTGTGATTTGAGGCGATGTAATTTTAATCTTTTCAGCTAGTTTGGATATAATGTGTAGCGGTTCGTTCTCCCACCACTTCAAATTCTATAGCTTTTTGTTTAAGATTTCCAGCCCGGAGGTTTGTTTAAATGGTAAGCACCCATGGTAAACATGGTTAGAGAGCTAACGAAATGAAAAACCCCAGGAAGACGATCTTATGCCGTGTTAATGATGTGGTCGTGGGGAAAATGACAAGAATATGATTTCAATGCCGCACCTCAAACCTGATGTTGAGAAGACTAACCTAACGTAATAAACGAAAAGAAAAACGCGAAGAACGTGCTGGGTGTCAAAATCCCCGGTAGATTGCGATAGCAGTTTAATAAAGAACGGCAAGATTTTTAGTGCCTCTTTGGTCCATTTGCTTGATTCCTTCCTTTAAAATAATTCTTTTATTTTATGTGTAGCATTTTTCAGGTGCAGGTTCATTTTCCCGTCACTGTTAGCAATAGGGAAAACCTACTCACCAAAATTGAATTAGACTTAGGCTACTTGCAATTGGCTACAGTTTTTTTCGTTACGGAGCACTGGGTCGTAGTTGAATGGTTTCAGTTCTTTAGGGAGACAATTGGTTTTGATTGGTCTTCTGGGAAAGCGCTCGTTCACACTTTAGCAGGAGTCATTATTAATTCATGAATGTTGTTATTTTATTTCTGAATCAACCTAGTTTTGGGTTTGGAGCTGATTATTTTTGCTCTCTTGTGTTTCGCTAGAGTCCAGTGTGGCTGGATTGTGTCTACAGGACGTTTGACCCGTACATTGTCAGGTTCGTTTTTGCATCTATTATTGTACTACAGAATGAGATCATCTCCAATCAGTTTTAATTTTCGAGGAAGAGATCTCACTAAAGCGAACTTCACTCCATTGGTTCTCACCATCGAGTCTCCGTTAATACATTTAATGTCCCTACTTCTTCAGTTATCTTGGAAAAAAGGTCCAAAAAAGGCATTGCACCAAGTTTCGACAACTGGGCCGAGTTGTTCAAAGCTGGGTTAAGATAACCCAGGGTTAGTGCGAGATTTGAATTCAGATTTGAAAGCTTAAAAAGCATTTCAGTTTTAAATCTTTTTGTCTAAAAGTTGATGATTGAAAGCTGTAAAAATAACAGCGAAAATTATCCCAGAAAATACTTTTGAACATAAGAAAAAGGAAACCCGGGTTAAATTTTTACTCCGGGTTAAGCGCTAATCGGCCTTCGAACAACTGGACTGTAAATTGAGAAGCCTCAGAAAACAGCCGACATTTCGCGGCGCTGTCACTGGTTTCCCCGCGAAATGACTTTGAGGAACGAGCCAATGTTGGTGTTGTGATGACGTCACTTCCCAGATTTCTTCTGATTGGTAGATAGTTTGAAATTTGCGCAACCAATGAGAGGCATGTCTGGGTATCAGTATGGAATCAGTTTGTTGGCTGTTTTCTGACGTCCTGACGCGGCGGGCAGCTGCGGGTTCTATTCCTTGCCTAACGAACACGCAGGATCTTAAAATACGTGAGGAGAGGGTGCTGCGTTTGTGTCACATCTGCAAGTAGTTAGATCTTTGAGTGTGGACCCTGGACCTGGACCCTGGAACCGTGGACCCTGTCTTACAGTGCTTTTACATCCTCTTAATCTGGCCCTGTGCACGTAAAAAAATGAAACACTAGAGACTTAACAAATCTCTGTTTATGACGGCCCTGTTTTGTTGTCCTTGATCTTGGGAGGGCAAGCTGTAGGAAGAGACCATACTATAAGGATTACCTCTTGATCCTTCTTCAGTCTAGAGTATGTACGTTTATGAGGGGTACTAAAGTTCTTGGTCACACTTAATTCAATTGTCCAGGTTTTTGCAGCCGTCATTGCTGTTACTATGTGAACAGGACAAGAAGGTTACAAAAACGTACAACTTCACCTCCATGAGTGCGCTACCATGTGGCTGTCCACGCAAGAAGTCACCGAAGACCAGGGATAACAAAAGTACGTTTTGATCAGCCTAGTCCTTAGGAATTTTCTCTTTCTCCTTTGTCCTCGCGAAGTCTGTTCTCAAAACAATCCCATAGCAAAATTTGACACAACACCTATCGAGACCGCACGTTGTAGACAAGGATCTCAAGAGTCAAGACACTAAGGACGGCGATAAGCCTGTTGATAATTTAGTTGCTGCTTTGTTATTATGGATAAATAACACAATTTTTCGCCACCCCCATGCAATCAATGTCACGTTTTTTTATCTTTCCTCTTTGTTTTTTCGACTTTTTTTTCTTTTCAAATGTTCTTTCTTATCCCCAAGGAAGACCTAAACAGTCACTTTAGGTCAATTTAACTCCCTGTAGACTACCTGACAATTGGTTGTGCACATTTTTAGCTGTTATATGAGATACATTTAACCTCTTTGGATGCATACTTAATTCTAGATCACACTGAGGTCCTCTACAATGCTCTTCAAGATCTGTTAAATCAGATGACTCAGCACTTTTGCGCAATTCCGAAGATAATGAGTCAGTTCTTAAACAAGTTGCAAGGTGTGTATTTTATATAAACCTCCTCTGGTTGCTCTATTTGCCCAGGCCACGCAGTCTAAGGTAGTTCATTCAATTTTCGTATGATTGGCGTTGAAAGTTTTTCCTCCGCCTTGTGAGTTAGAGTAAACTATTTGACGACACCATTCTCGCTGCATAATTAATTAGGCCATGGCAGGAGTTTTGAAAACCCGTGCGAATTCCCTCGGGTTCGCGAATGCTTGTTACTGTTGTAATGCTTTGCAATGCTTTGCGCCCCTCGACTTTAAATTTGACAGTGCCGTGTGAAACATGATCATTTCTAATGATTGTGATCCGGGCCCACAGTCAATTTTCGCGACCCACCCTTCCTTCCCTTGCTGAGGTTGACGGTTATTGCCTCAGCAGTCGCGGACCTTCCCGTAAGTTGATATTATGCAGTGAGGTAACGAGTCTGCAATGAAGACATGCTACCATTTTTGCGTTTCATGTTGGAGACATGATCACCTTCTCTGCGTGGTTGTCCGAACCTTGCGAAGGCTTGCTGTTCGTAGGGAAAAGACCGTGAATTCATGTCTCCGTTACTTTAAGACACTAATATCTGAACCGCGAGCTCCCGCTCTGCAAGCCATCTTTCTACCAACTGAGCTAGGGTTGCAACCCTTCCGTGGTTGAAGAGGCTTTTATTGCAGACAGTATTTGTTATGGTCTTTCATGAATGCCTGAATTTTGATTCCCTATATTTTCAGAGTCTGTACATCAAAAGTCAGTAGATTTATCAAGCGAAACAGTTGGAGTGAAGGTGAGCTCTTGTTATTCATGTTTTCTGAAAATTAATGTAACTAACTGCGTGAAGAATTTCGCGTCTTAATTTTTTTTAGTTTCATGATCATCATAAAATGTTACGTTCTGAGTAAAAATTAAGTGTCACTTCTTTGAAAGGATCAGTACAGATAAAAAGAATTCTCTCAAACAATACTAGAGGATTTCGCTATCGCAGCACGCTAACTCTCTTTGCCCGACGTCCTCGGAACAATCTTTGTCCTGTCTGTATTTCCCTTTAGTATAGGTAATAGCCCTTCGTAAAAGAGTTTACTTAGACAAGACAATTCAAACCAAGAGCATTTTTATTAATGGCGTTAACGAGAAAAGCCTCAATCTATTTGTGAAACTCACTCAATATCAGACAACCACTCATGCATTCTCTAGAGTAACCCGAGAACTGGCTTTTTTGGAGGGTATAGGACTAAAACTACAGTAAACGGGCAACAAAAAACGTGCAACTTGTTTTGCAACATTGCTGCAAAACGAGTTGACAAGCGATGTTGCGCGTTCTGTGTTTGCTTTATTGAGGACCTGGTTCACTTTAACTGCAGATAGATAAACAGCTTCTGGTATATTATGTAGGCTATTTTTCGGAAATCCTGTACCCTTATAGCGGGTCCGCGGGTTTCAAAAAGTGCCATGGAACTGAATGTTTTACCCTCGTATTGCCATCATCAGATTTCTGAAACAATCTGTGGCTTGTTTTTTTGATAGGTTCTTGCCAGCTTGTTGTATCGCTGGCTCAGCGATATAGACAGAGTAGTGTCTGTTTGTGACGCACATCTAAGCGTGGAGACTCAGAGATGCATGGCTATGTTTGCTGAAATAGTCTGGCATGTTCTTGTTAACCTCGGTAGAACTGAAGGTTGGTGTTACTGTGTCGCAGCACTCAAGTGTTTAGTTGTGCCTAATCTCGACCCAGATCTCCTGTCGGCTTCGTCAGCAAGAGATCTGGGTACGAGATTTTAGTTGTGCCAATAACTTGCTACAACACTCAACTTTTGTCGCGGACAAATTACTTCTAAATGACAAATTTGCAGCTTTGTGAGAAAAAGTATGTCCCCGAACGTTCTTTTCCAAGTTACAAACAACAGAGTTAAGCTTTGAAAAACTGTTTTGCTGTATGATCAGCTTTCAAAATCCCAATTGCAGTCTGCCCGTTTTAATTTTCGTCAGTTATGTTCATCAAAACATGTGTTATCCCAGGTGAGAGTATCCACGCATTGTTTTTTATTTTTTGTGTCTTTCAAATGTTTAGTCTTCACTGTTTTAAGCAGTAATTCACCCTAAATTTGTTTGACATCGCTTCTTAACGGACTTTGAAACAGTGTTTGGAACATTAAGTTGTTTTAAGCGATAGCAAGAGAGCGTAATGGAACGGAGGGGAGGCGCCCAGTTTAGCCCTTAGGATATGTGAATTTCACCAAAGTTATTTTTAGACCAATTGCTGGGTTGCAGGTGACGTCACGGCGGCCATGTTGGTGTTCAAGAACAAAAGAATTTTTCTCCTCTGGGAACTAAACTCTATTTTCATGTGAATTCTTCGAGAAAACTGAATTCTATTGTATCGAACCCAACATGGCCGGTTTGTCACGTGGTTGCAAACCAAGAATTAAACGCTTGAAATTAATCGGAAGTTGGTTTCCGGAGAGGTCTGCAAACTTTTGTTCAGTGTTGTCAGGAGAGAACTCAACAGTCGCTATTACAATATGCTTTATTGTTTGCTTTGACCGTTAGAGGCAGTCGCGCGTGGACTTGATGACGTCTCAAACAATCGATTAAAATGTGCGTACGTCTCAGGAATCAGACGTCCGTTTAATAAGAACCTGTAAAAATAACTTAAGTGAAATTCACATATTCCGTGTCTTATTATTTTCTCTTGGCAACAGACTATACTTATGTTGTGACCTACGTGTACTTGTATAAACTCCTCAGGTGGTGTGAGGAATCCTGATTTGCCGTCAGACATGGATGCTCTTTTGATTTCCAAGAGAGACTGGTTGAATCAGAAGGTCGGCCAAATCAAGACGCAAATTGCAAGCCAGTAAGTCTTTTTTATACCATTGGCTATCAATGCAGGAGTTCCTCGCCTTTAGGGAGAGTTGGCTATTGCCGCTCAGGTCAACTATGCATTTGCTTTGGTCACGGTTTAGCAGCGGTGGTTGAGAGAGGATTGGGACGAGGAAACGTTAGGAGAAGTAGATGTTTGGCCGTCATTGTGACTGAAACATGCGTCGTCTTTGTGCCATGCTTTGTTCGAAATCGCCACTTATTGTAATTTTTACCAGTTTCACTGTTACGGTTATTTTTGAGATTACTCATTGGAGAGCCATGAGACAAACGGCACCTCTATTTTTAAAGTTACTGTTAATTTTTTGAGCAGCTGAGTTCTGCAAAGTTATAAAAGTTTGCAGGGGGTACCCGTATGATAGTCGTGTTTGTGTCTCCGCAGAGCGTTTGAAGAATATCAAGTGGAAACAGTGTATGAATCGGTAGCTGATCTTCACTTCGCTCACATGGTAGATGCTCTGATGAAAGACAAAAAAGGTGATGGTTTGCCATCTTAGCGTGCTTGTGCACGGTTTTTCGTATCACTTTTTCCTGCACAGCTTCACTGCACTACTATCTTGAATTTCCCGCTTCATTCTCCTGACCTTAGTGTTTTGTTTGACTAAGCCGAACATAAAGTGAAATCAGCCTCCTAACAATCTATATCCTTCTTTCTTATCGTTACAGGTTCAGCTTCTCTGCGGCATGCTTACAACTTCATTCAGGCAAACAAGGTACCATTTATCACTGAACGGAATTGATTGAGCAATTATATTTAGCTACGAAAAGTAACGGTAAACCTTGGTCCAACTGAACTCGTGAAAGAATCAGTGTGTTTATATTCACTAACATTAATGGAGGACCCTGTTATAACGTACTCTGTAATTATATGTACTGTACAAAAATAATAGTTGTCAGAAAAAAAGGCTGTACCGCAGTGTTGATAAAAAAACTGAAATGACAAATTTTCGGCTCGGTAGCGCATGAGTAAGACGCGTATCACATGTAGACTAAGTAAATGGCCTTGTTCTCCAAGGCAAATACAAAATAAGATCGACCTCACCAAAGGGAGGTTTTGTGAGCCCGCGAAACTGAGCAACCCCCACAAATCCTTGTTTTCACTAAAACCGCTGGACACAAAACTTCTCTTGGGTCGAAGTTACATTGTCACAACCGTTCTCCAAGCGTTTTCCAGTGACTCAGTGAATAGAGGACATCCGCCTGGTGTTGGGTGGGTCGTATGTTCTAATCCTGTCGGGTTTCATGATTTTTCCTTTGTCCTGCGCTTTTGACTTGACGATTATTAGATCTCTCTAACTCACTACTGAGCTAGAAAAAACCCTAATCTTTGTTATTAACTAGTTTGGTTTTAATCTTGCATTTTTTTATAATGCGTGTGGTTTTACGTTTACACAGGATTGGCTTTTGAATCTCGTTCTAGTTCCGGGCCACATTCTTCCTCCTGAACCATCACGTTCACGTCAAGGCAGCAAGCAAAGCTCAGGTTTTAACCCACTCAAACAGTTTGCTATGATAGGCGAGTACGCTTTTAACCAGGAAAAGATTGCGTCTTTCCCGTTTGACTGGAATAAGCTGTTGCAGAGTGGCCTATGTTCATCAACGGAAACGGTCAAGCGACTGGTGTTTAACAGAAGCGAACTTCAGGAAGGAGCGTGTTTAGAGGACAGCGAGAAAGAGCTTGTGAATGCTCTTAAAGGGCATTATGGTGTTACTGTGGGTGGAGGGGACGGGGAACAAGCAGGGTAAAGAAAAGTCACTTCTAAGAGTAGCCAGAGGAAAAATACTGTAAAATTATCTAATGTAAACGGGAAAAATACGTATCATGTGTAGTGTCAGCAAATAATTGTTGAGGAACAGCATTAGGCGGCAAGACCGACACAGCGCTTTTTCATTGGCGGCATTTTTTAAAGTAGAGAGTTTCAATCCCTCTTCTGCGATTAATATAGGCCGGTTTTGCAGGACGCAGAACGAATACGATTCACCTGCCGACATTTGTTGTTCCTACTGGCAAAGCATTCTGGTGATGGTGAACTTCCGCTTGGGAAGTAAATGAAGAAACACGACTTTTCGGTTCGTTGCAGTGGAAAACTTCCGGGAGCAACGGAACCTCTGAAAAGGCAGTTGCTGTTTCTCTGACGTTCGAAATGGTAAATACGATTCTGGGACGAAACGTAACGTTAATACACCCAATCCGTGAACGACCGAATAGCCCATGTAAATGGTGTAGAGTAATCTGCTGATAATGAACAGAGCAGATTGATCTCTGTTTTTGGATTTTTGTTCCAGCAAGGAATCTGAAAACGAACTCTGCCTTGGGCGATTATCAGAGCAAATTATAGTTTTGTCCTTGAGAACAGAAATAACAAAAGAACGAAAGGCAGATCCAACTGAACTTGAAATGTCATTAATTAAAACTTCGAACGGCCATTTCAATTTTCTTTTTTCACTTGTGAAGTTTAGAATATTTTTTCTAGTGTTGAAACTCTCAATAATAGTCTGTTTGGGAAACTGAAAAATTACTTTTGAAGAGTGAGTCAAATAAAGTGAATCCAATTTCTGAAATAAAGAAATAAATAAAACTATGGAGGAAAATTACCGTGAGGTCCTCCTAAAAGTAACTGGCATGTTTCTTCCCTAATAAATTCAAAAACTATCAGACCCAAAATAAACAAAACAAATAATTTTTTCGACAGTGCAAAATCTCAAGCAACGAATGTCCTAATACTTAATGCTGTTTCGTTATTCGCTCTAACATTTTTCAGTTTCGTTGTTTTCTCTCGTCAGCATGTCAGTTCCGGAACTCTGTCTGGTTGGTCGCGCGCAAGAAACTCTCCGGTCCAGAAATACTTTCGCTGCGCAAACGTCGATTTTGCTGTCGCACTGTAAACTACAAAGTTTTGCTCGCTAAGGTAGTTTGGTTGTTTCCTATATGTTGCGGATGCTATCTGTAACATCAAGAAACAGCTTAGTAGCTCCCGCTGAGTTTCGAACCTCTTTACATACTATTTGTAGTTTTCGTGTCTAGTTTTTCCTCTTGTTGAGGAAAAAATGACTGTCGAAGTATTTAACGTCCAGAAATTTATAAAATATCTTTGACTGTTTCGCAAATACTTACTTAACTTACCGCATAAACAGGTTTTGAAAATGTATAGACGTAATATATGAATGATAATGTACACTGAGATGATATTTAAGGTTCTCTTGTTTTACTTTCCAATTAAAAGGATTTAAAAAACAATTCCTAAAAATCATTGATAACACAGAAATACCATATTTTCTAAATTAAACGCCCGCGGCTTTTATTTCAAAATTGGCTTAGAAGAACCGGTCTTTGTTTCAAACTGTAGTTTATTCAGATCAGACTCTCTTTCACAATGGGTGTTTAATAGCTGTTCTCGACAACATTAACTGCACGAGGCATTAATGCCCAAGTCGCCTTTATACAGCTTTTTGGCCCGATGTTTAATTTAGAAAGTTCTGGGCAAAAGAAATTAATGTTAAATGAGAGTCTTGAAATCTAATAAAACTCTACTTCTATTTAATTTTAGCTCAATTTAATGCTCTTAGTCAAAACAACATAAAACTTGAGCATTATTGAACGAATAAACTAACGTTCTTCAAACTGTGCGTCAAGTGGTTTTATTGCAATCATGGCTGTCATTTAATTAGACAACTCTTCTCCGTGTGTTTTCCCTTGTTTACGAAAATACTTTGCCCGATAAGAAAGAAAGCTCGATCAAGATTGTATTGATAGACTACGAGTAGTCTCCCATTTTTCCTCAGGGATAGGAGACCGTGCGAGACGCGAGCGCGCGTGAAAATCACCCCACGCGAGAAAAGGCGACACGCTCATTTTTCTCTCTCCCCGCCGTGTGTCGCCTTTTCTCGCGTGGGGTGATTTTCACGCGCGCTCGCGTTTCGCTCGCTCTACTATCCCTGAGGAAAAATGGGGGACTACTCGTAGTGTATTGTATTGATGAATGTTTGTACTTTGTGCACGCCAGAAGTTTACAATGTTAAGTTGCCACAGCTTCACTTGATGGTGGTGATAATGATGATGATGCTGATATTGATTATGGTGATGATTTTTGATTTTGATAATGCATGTGCTGTCGTTGATGACGATTATCATCATGATGGTACTAATGAGATGATTAAAGCACTTGGTTAAACCAAGTGGCTTGAACGTTTTTGCTAGGTATATGTCGCTTGCCTGTCGAAACCCCTACCCCATAAACCAACCTCGTCCCCAGAGCTTTTCCCTTAAAAAATGGGTGGGCCCCACCCAATTTTTAAGGGAAAGGCCCTGGGGACGAGGTTTCCCATAAACCCCATTATAGTCTATTTTGTGGCCAATTATAGACTCCATCTTAGTCACTTTTGAGCAAATGTAATTTTTGCAATCCTAACTTTGTCAGTTTTTGGTTATGCATCTACCTTATAAAGCCTTTCAACTAAGTCATCCTTAAATGAATTGACACATTTGTTAAAAATTAATGTAGTAAAAAACTTCCCATTTATAAATCCCTACCTACCATAATTTTCTGCATTTGATGGGCTCCTGTTTTCTGCAGACGGCCCCAAAATTCCGAAACGGTATGGCTCCATTCTAGTAACTCTGTTGAAAATGCAGCCCCATTATGGTCAATCCAGTCGTTAAAATGCGACCCCATCGAGGCATCATATACCATCCCGTCCAGCAGCCACAGCAGCACATCCCCATTAGGCTGCTATTACTAAGAAGTACTCCCTCGGCGGGGGTGGGGGTGGGGGCGATTTGTACTAACATACAGCTCAGCCGTTTTATGAGATCAGCACCTCGTGGGTTCGCAATAAGATTTATTTTTTCCGGCTGATCCCAACCGTTCCCCTTATTTCAGGTAATTGAAGGAAGCACGTGTCTGCTTCTCCTGCGGCAGCGTTAATATATATTTCACATCCAGTCCTCTTTTATTCTGCACCGCGCTATCGAGGCAAGGGAGGAAAGACTGGACCCAAGAGAAACTCTCATATTTTCCAAAGGAACGTGATGGCACTTTTGTACACATTCATGGAAGATTTCTTAACTTAGAGTAAGTTTAGCCGAGTTTGGCCTGGTGAAGCTATTTGAGTAAAAAAGATTGTCAATTAACTCATCGATTCATCTCACTCGGCATTGCATCTTGACTTCAATGAAACAAACATGGCGTCCGCGACATCCAGCGCAATCTCAAGATCCCAGGAATACTTAAGCTTTCGGAGTACTGTTCCTTTAAGAAGGGTAGGTTTCTAAAGCTTGTATTTCGTTTTTTTGGCTAATAACGAGGCTTTTATTAAAACTGATGTCTTCATTTCTTGCGGAAGTCATCACACTAGGCACGTGGAAGCTTGTTTGTGCGCGCAAGAACAGCCCATCAATCGAAAACAAAATAATAATCACTTTATGTCATATTGTCTGTGTGCTGTTATCAGTATGATTTAAAATATCAAGTAAGTGTTTAATCTGAATGTGTGCTATTGCTATGTTATTATTGCGGAAAGGCCTCTGTAATGTAATTGTCATTATTAATTAGCTGAGCCAGCTAGTGAAAGTGCTTTCAGTAAATCATTATTTAATTATTATTATTATTAATCTTAACTTTTCTTGTGTTTGAAGTGCTTGATTGCTCAGTATAATAGTAAAATATCAGTCAACGACACTTGCAGACCCATGGGAAAGTACTAGTGGTGAAACAAAACAAAAGACAACAATAAGAAATGGACTCAAGCAAAACTGACCTATGACATTTAGAGTCTTCATAAGCAATAACGTCATGACCTGTATTAACTTGTTAACCAGTGACGTCAACAACCAGACTTTGATACCATCAACTGATGTGATACAATTCACTTTGACTCTGAAGATGACTATACTGCGCAGGTTGTCAAAATGTCAGTCACTGACAACAAAAATCCTATTCAGGACTACGCTGAAGTGGACTTAGCTGTTGTCAATAGTGCATCACCATAGAGCTGGAAAGTCCTAGCACAGAACACACTCTTTGCTGACTTTTAGCACATCATTGTCTCTTTTTGTCTAATCAAAGCCAAAAATTAAAGGCTTATAACAACAACAACAAAACTAATTCATCGTTCACGCATGACTTCACATATTCCAAGTCCATTACTGTCCAAATCTGCTTATAGCTTTTCCCCATACCAGAGAAGATTTCTGGTGGAAATATTTTTACCTGAGTATTTTGCTTGCTTTGTTGTTTAAGATCACAAACATTTATGTCCTTATCTCAATTCACTGTAAAGGAAATTTTATGAACATGCATGTAGCTCTATAAAATAATTCTAAAAGCCAATGTCAAAGATAGGCCTTATAGAGACTTACTAGCCTGATTGGCTAGCAAGTAAATTGTGTTTTGCTAGCCTCATGAAAGTTTCCACTGTGAGATTTTCAATCTCTGCTGGTTGAGTTCGCAAGATAAACATGTCGCCATTTTTTCATTTATTATGCATACTGCAGATTGTGGTTGACAGTTCTGATGACAAGGAATGGTTGATATATGATGCCGGACCTCGTGGTGTACGCTGTCCACTTATTTGTTTACCTCCAGCCAGTGGCACAGCTGATGTGTTTTTCAAACAAGTTCTTACCCTGTCCAGCCTTGGATATAGAGTCATATCTGTGAGTGTCATATGTTGTTGATAAGAAGTCATGCCTTTGCAAGACTGTGATCCTTGTATTCCCTGGTGGATACCCCTAGAAAATTCTGATGGGGGTGTGAAGTATGCTTCTTGAAACCACGACCCTTTATAAGACCAAAGTATGTGGTTTTTGTTTCTCCATTTCACATCTCAAACATTTTTTTCAAGAAGAAAGTGATTGTAAAAGCTTATATATCCCAATGATGTCAGATCCGGGACAAAATATTACCCTTTTTCAGTTCCAAACAGTTAAAATCTGGACCTAATTTCAAACCAAGAAGGGTCATATACCATACCCTTTGGTACCTCCCCCTCCTTAGGTTGTGATCCATCACTGTGTTGAGAGAATTAATGGTGGTGCTTCACAACTCATGCAAGAATGAAGAAATATTTTTTAAAAAAAGCCCAGATTAGAGTAACTCTTAAAAAGGCTATAGCTGCAGCTTAAATTGCCCGTTTCTGTCTGAAGAAGTACCGAAAAAGAACCAAAACTACCCAAAACATTGTTGGAGCAATTTAGGTTCCTGGGAAACTGTCCACCTACCCCTCACCTAATCTTCACATTAACACTTACTTCTCACTTAGGGCAAAATGTTGGCTTAGGGGAGGGGTAGGTGATCAGTTTCCCAGAAGCCTAAATTGATCCACATTGTTTACAACTAAAGTGCCAGGCTAATGCATCTGTTGCTGATGCAAAATCACAGCTTTCGAATAGTGGAGAAGGCAAAATTTAGAGTTTTGGAGTTTAAAGTGACACCTTTCACTTTCTTCCCTCTTTTCTTGCATAAAATAATTAATTTTTTTTGAAAAAAATGTTCTCATTGGCAAAGTAAAAGCATACAGTTTAAAATATACAGTCAACTCTCTCTAAGACAGACACCTTTGGGACTGGCACTAAGTGTCGGTCTTAGAGAGGTGTCCGTCTTATAGAGAGTCAAATAAAAAGAGTAAAGAAAGGCAGGGACCAACTCTAGGTGTCCATTTTACAGAGGTGTCCTTCTTATAGAAGTGTCCGTGAAGAGAGAGTTGTCTGTAAGTGAAAATGTCAATACAGCTCTTGAAGAAATAATTAACAAATAAATTGATACAAAATATTATTATAACATGTTAATGCACAAACAGTTGTAATATTACGATGAGAAGATTTGACTATATAAACCATGTGTTTTTTGGAGAAGAATTTTTGGAGTCTTTTGGAGTATCAAAATCTAGATCTACATGTATGTTATTTCTATTAACCTGACAGAATTTTGAAGCTACAGAATTGTGTTGCTGGTGAATTTGTTTGGTCTATTTTGTTGTGTTCAGGTTGAGTATCCTGTATACTGGACTTACTCAGAATGGACTGAAGGTTTTAAGAGACTGTTGGATTTTTTGCACCTTGATGAGGTTAGTACTGAGCCTAACATTAAGAAAACGTGCTCTATAAGACTGTCAGGCTCTTGTTTTTATCAGCTCTTGCTTTCTGTGAGCCTTGAATTTCTTAATTTTAAGGTTAAGTCAACATTACTTCCAGGTGCAGATCCACACTGATTTTCACCATTTTACAGAAATCAGTCAGCTGTTTCATAATAAACATATTTTTAATAATAATGGAACTTTCCAAGTTGAAATCTGGAAAATGGTCAGGACAAAATAATGTTTTCTTTCTCCAATTTCCGGTCATTAGATGCCCCTCGATGAATCAGAAATCCGGGAAAGGGAACTTTAGGGAATTAAAATCCAAAAAAATTCACAGGGGTGCATGCCCTCAGGGTCCCCTAGAGGCTTGTTCCCTCGTTTAGGAAATCAGTCAGTATTTATCCTAGATCCATGCCTGACTACCTTGGCTGATAAAGAATAGGTCAACACAGAGCTCACTTCATGTGATTTTATTTTTCTTATGTTTATGTTCCATGGTCCCCAGACTAGTCTACTGTTATTTCTTTATTTTTCTATTGGTTATTTTGAGACTGGGTCAGTGTTGTGTCCAGTCACACTATATGGTTAGTGTTTTGGGGGATGAATTTGAACCCATTTTCACTTGCAGCATCATAGTAGCCAATAGAGAAATATTATAAAGACTCTAAATAAACAGTGTCATAAAGCACTTAAGCATGACACTGAACCAACTCATGTGCAACCTCAAAAATAGCCAAATGTTACCTAGCCTCCCTCGCAGGCATTTTTAGGGGAGCTCATTTTTCATCCCTCCCCACAAATGCCTGCTCAACCAAAGACAACATTCCTTTCCAAGCTTAGCCAATCACATTGTACTTTCTACATTCTGGAAAGTTGACCTTGAAAGCAAGGTAATCTGATAATGACTCGATCTGCATGAAACACTGGGAAAGCTTTCTGACCTCTAATGAATGTTAGATTCAGAGTGGCAAAAATAAGGTTTATTCAAATTTTAGAATACTCCATGCACTGCATAACCTTAGCGAAGGAAAGAAAAGAATGAAAACGGTAACTCTAGGGTCATGTTTTAGTCGTTTTTAGCCTGTCAACACTTTATTGCCCAACTGTTGATTGGTCACTTACCACGTAAATAAAACAATGGGAAAGGAATGTTGTTTTCAGTTGAGCAGCCGTTTGTGGGGAGGGATGAAGAACGAACTTCCCTAAAAACACCTGCGTGGGAAGCTAAATGTTACCAAGCCTCCGTTTCTTTCAGCCACCCCTTTCAATTCCCTTCCACAATTCTTCTAGGTCACAGTTGTTCCAAAGGTTTTTAATGCCATCTATCGGACAAATCTCTATCCAGTGGATAATGCAATAGGTTTTCTTGATACTTATCTGCTGGATAGCGATTTTTCTGACAGATAGTACACTCTAACATTTCAACAACTGGGGCCAGGTTAACAAATCTTGAAACATACATAACACTCATAAAACTAATTTTTTGTTTTAGGTCCATCTGTTTGGAGCTTCTCTTGGTGGTTTTCTTGCTCAGAAATTTGCAGAAATGACCCACAAAAGTCCCAGAGTTCATTCCCTAATACTTTGTAATGCTTTTGCCGATACATCAGTATTTCAGCAAACTGCAACTGCATCTACGTAAGTCAATACATTTTTATCTTAAGTCAAATGTAACAAGAAAAATAGAAAGATCAATAGGCATGAATTTCAACTGGCTTGCCTACAGGAGAGAAGTGAAGCAGTAGACTACAGAGCTAGAGGTCATAGATTATATTTCCAGTGCATGTACCAGGTTCTCAAAATAACTGAGAAGTGAGGAATCCTCCTCTGCTGTGCTAATAGGCCACTTGCACTAAGAGGTCACGTGACCAATGCTTCCTTTAAACAATGAGTTGGAATCTTGCTGATGCCAAAACTTGACAGAGCACATAAAAATTAGCGTACACCCGAAATTTGAGAGGAAACGCATTTAAGGGAGATATTTTATGGCACGTTGATTTTTCAACAAAGTAGTATGATTTGTATTGGCCGCCATGTTGGAGGGCATACTCTTGCCCTCCAACATGGCGGCCAAAACTACTTTTTCCTTATATCTTGTTAAACGTTTGATAGTTACGGTCAGATGTGCTGTAAACGTTACCACATCATTTTTTCAACATCTTCCTTGAAGTTTAAGTGCAAAGCTTGTGTTCAGAAAGAAGTAATTCATAATTTTAAAAATCACATTTTGGTCACGTGACCAACTACGAACTTACTCATTTTAAGAAAATGGTGCGGGTTTGAAAAACCAAATCACTATTATTCTGTTTAAGATATGACCCACTAATCGTTTTTTGAAGGCAACATCATATAGCTTTCATTTTCATAAAACTATGTCACGTGACCTCTTAATGCAAATGGCCTATTAACAGTTGGACCTTGGTGTGGTTCTCTTGACCATGCACACAGAAGGGGTACTGCAATATATGGGTTATATAGGGTTTCAAGCAGTTTAAGCCGGGATAGGGTATATAAATCAGAGAGTGTGTTGGGTCTAGAATAAGGTGTCATATTCCAGGAAACTGATCAACTGGTTGAAGATTTTAGTCTAGACTAGGGAAACTGGGAATTGCCACTTAAAATTAATATATAAGAAATCAAATAGATTTTGTTTTGGCTGGACTGTGCTAGTAACCTCAGTAGTTTCTGGAAAACAGTTACTCTAGGATAGGGGGGATTTGGAGAGTTCAGTCTAGTATAGTGTAGCAAAATTCAGCAGAACTAGCTCTGGTATAGGCTGAGGGTTCCAGGGTCCCAGTAACATCATATCCCCACCCCAAAATTCCTAAAGTACCTCTCCCCCCCCCCCGAGAGTTCCTTACTCCAGAAACATACAAACCACTGTGTCCTCAGTAATTGAGGACACTCTAGTATCTATTGGTATTCTGTGCTATATTCATTGACACTTCTTTAGAATTCTATGTATTTTTTTTTTGTGCTTTTGAATAGGTTCTGGGTGATGCCTGCTTTTGTTTTAAAGAAAATGATAATGAACAATTTCACAACACAAGAGGTTGATGAAGACATTGCTGACTCAATTGATTTCATGGTGGAGAGAGTGAGTGAATCATTTGTTTTTACGTCAATTTACAGCAGCTTCAATAGAAATGTAACTTATTTTAAAAATCAAGAATTGTAGCTCCTGTTTTATAGACCATTTTACAGTTGTGAGCTCAGTATCCTAGCCCTTGGCGGAACGTATGGCTGAAGTTGACCTTGTTTTGATACAACCTCATTCCTTTTCTTATGGAAATTATGCTTAGAAAATACCACTTGGCATAAGAACAACATAATTCACATAATAAAGCAGGAGGGGTCGGACAACTCCAGCCTCGTTTCCACCTGTGACTAAAAAATGGTCTATTTGTAGATTTTTAGATTTGTATAAATTTTAAAATTGTTAGGGAATTGTAGAATAATTTATATGCACATGTTTTCTTCGCTATTATTTTTGTTTAGTACTATAGACGTCTTGACTATTTGTCTATTCCCTTAGTGTCCTCAATTAGCTTGTATAAAATAGCTAAACACATCATCACTTAAATAAAGTTGTTATGGTATGCTATCTGTTTTTTTTTTTAGTCAATTGCATATGGCCATCAATTCCCCCCCACCCCTACCGATCCTGATTTTTGTGCTTTTTTGTTATCCAAAGTAACTGGTTGACCATACCCCAAAGTGGTTGAAACATGCAGAAATGATAACAGGCTCGAATTATGTCCACAAGTAATTCTTTTATGAAAGAGGAAATACTCTCCAGTTGGCTTGATTAGCTTAATGGATAGAGCATTGTGTCTGGTCTTAGTAAAGGTTAGGGTGCGTTTCCCAGTCAAGCCTGAATTCTTTTAGGTTCTTTTTCAACCGCTTAGGTTGTTTATTCGACCGCAAGGATCATTACCACTTTCTTATCTTTATTCACAGTTCAAAATATCATATAGACCTATTTCAAAAAAGGTTGTCGGAGAGATTGGGGAATGGTAATTGTCGAAAAAAGATTGTACGACTGAAAGGATCTGTAGGTTTTGAATATTGATGGTAAAAAATCATCTATCTAAGCTAGTCAACGATGCCAGCTCCATTTAGTGAAGACCTTCGATAGCAGGTTATTTCGTTTGTCCATGTTCTTCAGCATTCAGTTGCAGAGGCTTCATTTTTCTTGGGCATTTCTGAAAGAACAGTTGAGCGCCATATTTCTAAATTTCTTGTGACTGGCAAAGTAAAGTCGGAGACAATAGGCCGTTCATACGAGGAAACAAGGAACATCTCTCAATTGAAAAAATCATGATTTTCTTTTGTCTTCGGGGTCAAGGACCCTCAGACAAATGTTCATAGTTGGTGTATTCATTTTCACGCAAGGTGAACGCAACTTATGGTGGTAGCATATGCTGGTACCTTGGTAGAAATTACAAGGGACTATGCAGAATATCATCCCATGCACTTTCATTGGTCAATTTGAGGTCACATGACATCTATAAACAAACCTTTTTCACACCAAAATACCTTGAGTGGGCAGCATTGCAAAATCTATAACATCAGAGGCTAACAGTGCTCTGTTACACACAAATTTTTACGGGTTATATAACAAAATTACTTAAAATAATGACTGTTCTCGGGAAGCTTGGCTTTTCTGTGAAAGTAACTGGGTTTCATGAATTTAGTAGCCAGGGAAATCTCCAGTTCCCAGTGTCTTAGTGACAGACCTGAACTAAAACATTATAAATCTTGAGTTTGCCTTTTGTTAAGTAGAATATTATAGTACTGAGTATATTGCAAGTTGTTGTTCCTTTTGGCTGACCTTATAATTTGGTTTCTAATAATAGCTTGAAAGCTTGGGAAGAAACGAGCTGGCTTCACGACTGACTCTAAACTGTTTGGACTCTTATGTTGAGCCACAAAAGCTGCATGGCATTCCTACAACCCTTATTGATGTAAGTTCATAGTTTATAGTAGTGCATAGTTTATTTGGGGGGAAGGGCAGGGTTCTATGTCGGGTATTTGAGGGGTAGAAGCTTCCCCCGCAAAATGCCCAGCTTCCCCCCCAAAAAATTAATATTGTTGTCATTACAGTGTTAAGTCACTGCAGGTCACTGCACACACTGTAATACTTCTCAAAATTGTGTATCAAAATGCACCAAATTGCATCTCAGCACGTATTCATTTCAAAAATTTTGGGAAAGGGGCATGTTCCTAGACCACCCTAGGAAGCTCGTGGCCTTCTGCCACTCGGGACTTCTCCCTCAAACGATAAATCCTAGATAGAACCCTGAAGGGAGGGGGGGAAGAGTTCCAAAGAAAGTTCTATAGAGGCAGTCTCCCCCCCAAGGTCTAATCCCTTTCCCTTTTATATACTATTTTTGACATAAAAGGTACCCCTTTCCTTTACAAAGACCCTCTGTCTATTGACAAATGGTACCCCTTTCACATACCTAGTTTAGAATGTTGACTCCCTTTTAACAGCTTTAACCCATTCACTCCTGGATATTTTGCCGAAAAACGCGTTTTGAAGCTAGTCGAGTGGTTTTCTGGTCACTGTCGTGCTATAAAGAGCTAAAACTTACCACAAACCGGTTTACAGGTCGTACACTTGGCGGCCTTCTGATCCAGATGCAAAATATCAGCTTGCGAAGTTCGGGCATGCGCAGAAAGCAAAATTTCTCTCCTCCCTTCTTTTTTCGCTTTTCTTGCCTCACTTTTTTTTTCTCTTGCTGGGCATTTAGTAGGCTTCATTTTGGTGGGAAGAGTTTTTAGGAAAGCTTTTAGGATCTTAGGATTAGGTGAAAGGAAAGGTAGGTGGGTAATGGAACAAGATTTTCATGGAGATTTTCAGGTCCTTGTCACGTGGCTTTTTGCTTCTTTCTCCGGTATCCTTGACTGAATTGTGCTCATTCTGGTATGGTTTGAAAGATCTCTTCACTCTGCACAAGTTAGCGAAGAAAGTTGTCCTTGACCGTTAAAACTGATGACGTCACAAAGGGTAGAAAGGACCTGGATCCGCACGGGCGGTTACGGGCGGTTCAGGGGCGAATGGGTTAAGGGCACTGTCTTTAAAGAATGAAAAAAAAATCACAAAACCAGGAAATGTTTTTGACTTTTTAACTGCCATAAATTCTTTCATTAGCCCTTTTAGGTCTTTTTACAGGCCCAAATGACATATTTCCCTACCCTTTTATATACTTCAACTAGTCAAATCCCTACCCTTTCATAATAACTGTCAGGCCTGAAAAAGGCACCCCTTTTGGGCCGAGCCTCCTAATACAAACCATTATAGGGAGTGCCCCCCCCCCCCCCACCAGGGAATAAAGCCACCGAAGGGGGCAATAGAACTGTTTTACATTTAAAGAACACGACAAATGTTTACAATCTTCCAACATCCTAAGTGAGCTCATTACAATCTATTTGTCACCGTTTGTAACATTTCAGAGAGAAATGATTAGTAATGCATTTATTAGGTTTTTGATGACTGCGCGCTGTCACAGCCAGTCAAGGATGAACTGTACAAGTGTTACCCAGATGCTAAGAGAGCTCATTTAAAGAAGGGCGGCAACTTCCCATATATTTGCAGGAGTGCAGATGTGAATCTCTATCTTCAGGTAGGTCTTTTGTTGGCAAATTTTTCTTTTGTTACAAAGCGATAAATTAAGCGAAAGATGGCACCAGTCATTTGATAAGAGATTAATTGATTGGATTTTAAATTACTGGTAAATATCCGGTATTTATTTTCAAATTCGGTCAGGTTAATCGATTTTGGAAGGTTTATCATACACTAATCCGGTTGCAATCCTGTCAATTGGGTCACCCGGAGGACTTTTTTTTTCTGTAGTCAACAAACAACAGACACTCGTAAGTGTTTAACTCGTTTGTTGGATGAAAGTTCAGTCGCTACGTTAATGCCCACGGTTCTTTAAGTGAATATCCAAGTGAGAGTTTAAAGGAAAGCTTTTTTTGTCAACGTTTGGGTTTGATAGATTCGTACTTGTTTGGCCGGTAATTTTTAGTTGAACGTTTGCCTGTGTAAAGACCCGCCCTTTTCTGAAAGGGAAGAGTGGTTGTACACTGTAATTTTATGCGTCTCTGTAGATCCACCTTCGACAGTTTCTTGGAAAACGCTTCAGTGCCATGGATCCCAAATTTATGACTGAAGAAGATATGATGTCGTGTGGTCTGTTGCCATCTGCCGAGCCGCCGTCTGTTATGTCTTCAGACGAGGAAGAAGATGAATGATGTTTCAATTTGAATTATATTTTATAGATAAAGAGATAGGTTTTCTAATTACTGTGTCAGGACCAAAGCCTGGGGGGAGGGGGAGGGGGTACTCCCTATAAAGGCCTATACGGGGAGGCTCCGCCCGAAAGGGGTACCTTTTTTAGGCTTCAGGTGTATGAAAGGATAGGATTTCACTAGTTGAAGTTTTTGAAAGAGTAGGGAAATCTGTGATTGCGGTCTGTGACGGACCTAAAGGGCCGGGCTAACTGCCGCATTTTTGGCTGTAAAAATGGTTTAGTGATTTATTCATACATAGTACTTACAAGGGATGCAGCGTTCTAAAGTAAAACTAGTATTTGAAAGGGGTACCGTTTGTCAATGAAAGGTACATGTAAGGGGTGCCTTTTTGCACCTTTTTGGTATATATGTTGCGGTTCAATTTTATCCTCGGATTAAATTTCGTTCTCTTTTGCTTTTGTATATGGAAATGTGTGATAAGACATGATAATTAAATTGAAACAAAAGAAAATAGAAATTTAAACCAAGGATGAAATTGAGCCACAACATATAAAAGGAGAACGGGTCGGACCCTGGAGCCGAGCCTCCCTGTATAACATTTTGTTAAGTAAACCCCCCCCGGACCAAAGTTAAAACATAACAGATAAATATAATTTAATAGATCTGTTATAACATAGATTAAAAGGTTCTGATGACACCAATGCCAAGCGCCACGAAGGAAAATAGTTTCAAAGCGTGGAAAAAACTGAAATAGAAATGTTAGCAGGTGTGAGTAAGAATGGCATCTCGATTGTTTATCGCTTTTTTTAACTAGAGTGGAATCATTTTGATGATTGTATTAACAAATATCGTATAAACCCTTTACAACATACCACTGTAGTCATTGTAGAACAGTGTTACAGAGTTCTGTAAACACTGAGTTCAGAGGAACATACGATTACATGGCATTCCGCACTAGGACTCCTCTCTATTGATGCCTTCTGTGCGGACTTGGTAAGGATTTATGCACTTGAAAATTACTGGATATCAAGGAGAACCTATTTCAAGAGATAGGGAATAATGCATAGGCATACTCTTAATCCACACCTTTCAGGTAGTACTCTCAAATTTTATTTTACGAGCGATTTTCTTTATGAACCCACGGGTTTACAATGTTTGGAACATACACGGGAAGTGTGCTCTCACTGTTTTTGGCGTAAACTTTTACTGTCTTTAATATTTTGAGAGACTCAGCAAAAGTTGTGAAGTTGTTGCCAGCGATGTCGTGTTAGACCGTGAATGTCAAGTTAGAATAAGTTTAACGCCTCTCAGGCCGAGGCCAAACGTCAAACTTTTCATGAAATGAACCAAACTCTAATATAAGTCGATCTAAATTAAGTTAAGATCGTCTGCTGGGTGACACGTCGAACTGAGGATGCGTTGAACCAATCAACTGAATCAGACCAAAAAGTAATTTTAGCCGAACGAGGCGGAATATACATTATCATTCCAATTATTTATATATTAATTATTAGTTTAGCTCGTCGCATGTCAAGACCGACGTTTGTCCCGGAGACGATCTTCAGACGTTCTATCCGTCTGAAGCAGACAGATAGAACGTGTTGGACGATCCAAACTCATTCAGATGAACTTAACTAGGCCAGACGTCGAACTTTCCATGAACTTCTCACTAAGTGTGATTCGTCTAGTAAAAAGTTCAACGTTTAGTCTAGGCCTCGCTTTCCAGTTTTCCTGTAATATATCAAACATGAGACGCAGTGTTTCATCACCAGATGAAACACCGAGAAGAGAGTTGAAAATACGACGCGCAGCGGAGTATTTTTGACGAACTTCGCGGTGTTTCATCTGGTGATGAAACACTGTGTCGAATGTTTGATATTTCTTCTCAGACAAAATCATTTTTGAAGGAGAAATTAAGAATGCAAAAATGAGCAGTTTTTCATCCGATATCCAAACACTCATTAAACATTAATTTCCTTTGAATTTTCTTTGTGAATTATTAATGAGTTTGAGAAGTAATCTGAAACTTTGATTCGACATTAAACTGAGGAAAACTCTAGTATTTTAAAAGGTCTCATCGTGAAGGGCACCTTACTCGTCCATGTGTGCGTCCTTTTGCCTTCCTCTTCAGTAATCGTGGAAGAGGAAAGAAGGTTCTGCTTAAATCGCGTCATGTTAAGCTTTGTCGCCTTTGCATGTTTATACATAAGTCCATACAATTAATTGTCTATTTGGCCTTGTGTCTATTTTTGTTGGTTATTTTTGCTATCCTTTCATTAAAAAAATCGTAACAAACTAACCTGCAATCAGGCGTTCTTTTTTCCCAAAGAAAAGGGAGGAAGGACCGCCGGATCGTTGGTAAGTAACGAGCAAGAAAAGATGAATCCATGAAGTTCAAAGCCGACGCTTCCAGAACAAAACTGGAGATGAAAACATGTATTGCAGATTTGAAATCATTTTGCAGAAGTTTACGAAATGTATAGTTATAACAAATATGAATTTAAAAAGAAGTAATAAATATAAATTAAGTATAACTTTCTTAATAAAATTTTTGCATCGACTGCACCTATATATACTTGCCACCAGACCCATGCACTCTTCGGAGGGAGAAGGGGAATAATCTGAGGTTTTCACAATTCTATTATTACCGCCTCAATAAAATCAAAATTCCGTTGGAAAAATATATCCCCGAAAGGGAGTCGTTCGGTTCTATTATTTCCCCTAAAGGGGCATTCTTCCATGAGTCCCAGAGTCCATTTCCCTAGATGAATGCGAAAGAAAAACCCTCTCTAGCAGGTGTAGTGGAAATGTGGAATGACGTCATCGTGCTAATGGCGTGTTCAGCACAGAAAGTCAAATAGAACCTATACGACCCTATACGCCACTTTCACATCTCTCATAATGCACCTTATTTGCCGCCCAAAATTTTGCATAAGCATTGTTTTTCATTTCTCCTGGGTATTACAGCCGTCCCAAGAGAAATTGAAAACAATGCTTATACAAAATTTTGGGGGGAAATAAAGTGCATTATGGGAAATGTGCAAGTGGCATATGGGGTAGCCTGTTCCAGGCTCCGAGATAGTGGTGAAAAGTCGTTCAGTGAAAAGAAATGCGAAAAACGCGCGGGGGCTGGGGAGAGACAGGGCGACTCTCTCCCATTTTTCTCGCCGCCACCGCCCCCTTTGCTAAGTCGCGCGCGTCTTATTTTCGCTTTGCTCGTTTTAATACGTCCGCACTATACTATCTGAGAGCCTGGCCCAGGCTACATAAAGGGGTACGCTAACTTGGTGGAGCTGCAATTTATGCATGTAAACCATGACGTGACGTAAACCCGATAACCACGATTAGAAGCCTATGCAGGACCGCCAAGTCTTCTACAGCATTACTCTTAAGTTGGACGGAATTATTTAATCTAAAACCGACTTCTTCTTAGTCATTATAAACAGAAATCAGAACTAAAGATACCTTATTTCGTAATTAAGGCTTTTGACAAGTTTAGTAATGTTAAAATACTGAGAAAATACTTTTACTCAACATACTCTAAGGCCCCTTTTATTTTATATGGAGAAAACCTGTTCTGGGTAAAGGGTCACCCTGCCGAGTAAACATTGGCGAGCGTTTAAATGAGAAAAGGCCGAACCAACAGCGTTCGCACATGCTTTGATTTAGACCGCGACAGTGTTAGTAGCTCAGTCGGTAGAGCGTGTGACTGCAGAGCGGGAGGTCGCGGGTTCGATTCTCGGAGCCCGGACCAATACTCAAGGTCTTAAAATATCTGAGAAATGAAGGTACTCTCTTTGCACTGCAAGCGGCTTGACCTTCGCGTGGCAAGGATGACCACGTAAAATGGCAGTCCCTTCTCCAGCAGGAGACGTAGAAATGGTGTCCCCAATCAGTACTTTCGTGCTGAATACATTGACACTCAAACAAAGTGCATATATTTTCTCGCCTTGATCCAGTTGGCCTAGCTGGGCGCGCCAAAGTGTTTATATGGAGAAAAATTGATCCAGCCAGGAGGATGACCCTACCATCACAAAAGAATGACCCGACTAGGTAAGTCACATTCCAGCCCAACCTCGTTCCCTGGGTTCTCGAGAGCACCCTGCGAACGAGGTTGCTTCTAGCCGAGCCAGCCTTTAATGTTTCTCTTGTTGATGATGGTTAGCTTCGATTTGCAAGGAAATGTATGAAAAGTTGGCACGGCCCCCAGGGTGGCTCGAGTAGGCGGTGACTCTTCTACTCGGGACCCTTTTTCTCCATGTAAATGAGGCTTAAGCCATGCCACCCTTTTGTGATAGTAGGGCATCCTTTCAAGCTCTCCGATGGTTTCATTTAAGAGATTTTACATTGAATTTAGGTTAAATGCGCCATTTTTCATGCCACAGTCGTGGAAGAAAGTATAGAAAACTTTGTCTCGGAATTAACACGTTCTCTTTCTTTTTTAGGTAGCGCGCTGACGAATATTCTTTGCCATGTTTGCTCTTACGATTATCTGGATAAACTTAAAGGGGCTGTGTCACGGCAGTCCAGTTCATTTTTTTTTAATTTTACCAATTACTCGCCCTCAATCGCTGTGGAACGTAAAGTAAGCAAAGAAATTACATGTAAATGACAAAATCAGAGATCCGAGAAAAACAAATTTGTCTCCTTAGCATTATTTTTGAAGTTGCAAGCAGCAGGGATCAACTTTGAAAAACTGTTAGGCTGAACAGTTTTCAAAAACCCTAATTTCAATCCGTTTCACTGTTCTTCAGTTTTGCCCATCCGTGGCATCTGTTGTTTCTGTTATGTCACTTTAACCTTCCTTTAAAGTTTTAAGCGGTTATTTTTATGTTTCTCTTAATTTCACGGGCATTTTGTGATGTCCTAATTTGGCTGAATTTCGCAATACAGCTCCTTTAAACTGTTGAGTAATGATTTTAGTCGGCCAGACTGCGTGCCATCATGCTTTGTGAAGTTGAAGTTAGCATATCTTAGCTTTAACTCGAAGTAGTCGGCCCAATAAACCACATCTATTGCTTCCTTAACTCGGAATTTAAACAAACAATACAATACATAAATTAGCATGACATCCTTCTTTATTTGTTTCCTTGAACATAGATGAACAGCTCCTGTCATGGAAAAACTGAACGTGATTTATTGCAGGTAAGTGCAGTCTTTTCTTTGCTAGTCTAATCGACTTGAATATATTTAGGTGCTACTGACATAACCGTTTACTTTTTTCGCTGATTACTTTCATTACGTTTTACAATAGAGAAATGTAAAAGAAAAAAAAAGACGATACAAAACTTATTGAATGATTTGTTGATTACATTGCCTAAACTGCATCTTTTGTGATAGCAACTTTAATGAGCTTGATTCCATATCTCTCTCTTGCATCATCGTCCTTGTACGCTTCCAGAGTGAGTCCATTGTTTAGCGATAGTTGCTTGCTGTATCCATCAGTCTTCACGTAACCTCCG